GGTGTTTGGTACGCTTGCCTTCATTGGTCATTACATTGAGTATAGGAGTTGGGAGGTCATGTTGCGTCTGTACAAGACATTGGTGAGGGCACATTTGGAATACTGTGTTCCGTTATGGTCTCCCTGCCAATGGAAAGATGTTAACAAATTCAAAAAGATGTGACAAAGATTTACCAAGATGTTGCCGAGATTCGAGGGTTAGAGTTAAAAGGATAGGCTGGGGCTATTTTCCCTGGAGCGTCGGAGGCTGAGGGGTGACCTTATAGAGGTTTATAAAATCATGAGGGGCATGGATAGGGTGAATAACCATGGTCTTTTCCCCCGGGTAGGGGGGAGTCCAAAACTAGAGGGGCATAGGTTTAAGGTGAGAGGGGAAAGATTTAAAAGGGACCTAAGGGGCAACTTTTTTCACACAGAGGGTGGTGCGTGTATGGAACGAGCTGCCAGAGGAAGTGGTGGAGGCTGGTACAATGACAACATTTAAATGGCATCTGGATGGGGACACGAATAGGAAGGGTTTAGAGGAAGCTCTAAGGAAGGACCACTTTACCCAAAACGTTAACTCTGATCTCCCTCCAGAGCTGCTGAGCTTTTCCAGCAACTTCTGTTTTTGTTCCTGACTTACAGCATCCGCGGTTCATTCGGATGTTTGTAAGGTTTAGAGGGACACTGGCCAAACGGGAGTGTGTGTTCAGCTGAGGAAAGCTGGGCAGCATAGGGCCGAAGGGTGTGTTTCCGTGCCCTATGACTCTATGCGGGGGAGCCATCTCGGGTCACGTTCCATGGACAGCGACCGCACACCCACGTCAGCTTGGCATCAGCCTGATGGCACTCTCATGGTACATCTCTGACCCACATCCAACCCGATGCGGCATCATGGCAAAGCTGTGGTTCGCACAGGGAGGGACAGGCACCCATCTCATCCATCCCAACAGGGCATCTCAGAACCGCTCACTCACTCGGCCACCACACAGATGCTTCCGCTTCTGCCTTGCTCCTTCTTTTTTTGGCACGTTAGCCCCCTCAGCCCGAGCTGAAAGGCTCACAGCCCTTTCTGTCCCGCCTCGCTACCTGGCTCAGATAGCAACACAACAGTGAGAGCAGCGAAGGGGTCTGTTTCTGTGCTGTGTGACTCCATCAGGTCAACGGAGGGAAGGGGGCATGGGCATGGTACTGTGGTTGTGACATCCGAGACTGTGCCAATGGCTTTCGGGGCAATCAGGCCGCGCGTGTTTCAACCAGTTGGCCTTATCTTGTAGTCCATGGGGATGTGGTCCTTAGTCAGGCTAGCCTTCAGTCAGGAGATCCTGACACCAGTAAATCATGGGCATCATTTGGATTTTGTGAGCATCTCCCATTTCGACTTGAAATGCTTCTAAAAAGCTTGGGTTGTTGGTGGAGGGGGGCAGTATGTACGCCAGTGCTAGAGAAAACTGAGAAGACCGTACCTCCTACAGACAAGAAACTGTTTAATGAGGCTTCTCAAATGTTGATGATGCGTAACATTTACGCAGGGAGTGTAAACTCAAGCCCAGTGTTGCAGGTCATAGAGTCATACCGCATGGAAACAGACCATTCGGCCCAACCAGTCCGTGCCGACCATAATCCTCAAACTAAACTAGTCCCACCTGCCTGCTCCTGGCCCATGTCCCTCCAAACATTTCCCTGTTCATGAACTTATTAAACTGTCTTTTAAACGTTGTAACTGTACCCACATCCACCACTTCCTCAGGAAGTTCATTCCACACATGAACCACTCTCTGTGTTTAAAAAAAAACGTTGCCCCTCATGTCTTTTTAAAATTTTTCTCCTCTCACCTTAAAAATAATCTTGTAATCCTCCGACCCTAGGGAAAAGACACCTATCATTCACCTTATCTATACCCCTCATGATTATATAAACCTCGATAAGATCACCCCTCAACCCCCTACGCTCCAGTCTCTCCCCATAACTCAAACCTTCAATATCCAGCAATATCCTGGTAAATCCCTTCTGAACCCTCTCCAGCTTAATAACACCCTTCCTGTAACTGGGCGACCAGAACTGGACACAGTGCTCCAGAGGGGGCCTCACCAACGTCCTGTACAACCTCAACATAACGTCCCCAACTCCTGTACTCAAAGGTACTGTCAAGGGATGATGGGTTCTGTCACTTCAATGTGTGTTCCTGATTGGGACCAGAGCTAGGCAGGGGATCTTAATGACTATGGGATCCCTGAATGGGGCTGTAAACTGACACTTTCCCAGCTACCATCAGTTCTGAGGAAGGGTCACCGGACCCGAAATGTTAAATCTGATTTTTCTTCGCAGATGCTGCCAGACCTGCTGAGCTTTTCCAGCAACTTCTGCTTTTGTTCCTGATTGGCGCTGCTAACCTGGGCGCCCTGGCTGACAGATATAGACGGGAGATTCAGAAGGTCATTTCTGAAGAACGGTCCTGACCCGAACCGTCAACCTCCCTGCCCCTCTGATGCTGCCTGGCCTGCTGTGTTCCTCCAGCTCCAACACTGTCTTGTCTCTGACTCCAGCATCAGCAGTTCTTGCTATCCCAGATTCAGAAGATCTCCTCATTCTCGGGACCCGCTCTGACCTGGCTGCTCAGAGCCCATGTATAGTGCACGACTAAATAAAGGGTGACTTGGTGACTGGGTACCGGCCTCTGTGGAGTTATTTCAGTGTCCAATTCACTTTCAGATCGATGCAGGTCATAATGACATTTCATCAGAGCTGAGGGAATGAAGGACAAACATCCAGAGGGGTCAGTAACAAGGGGTCGTGGATTTAAAGCAATTTGTAGATTAGAGGGTGGCCAGTGTCTGGAACTTAGGGATGAGCAATAAATGGTAGCCTGGCCAGTGATGACCTCAATCCATGAATGAATATAAATAAATAAAATGATTTTTAAAAATTCAGATGCACAGGAGCGTTCTGACTGGGAAATATATCAGCTGTTCCTACAGTGTCGATGAGACAAAATCGTGGAATTCCCTCCCTCCTGGCACTGTGGGTGTCCCTCACAGCACGAGGGCGGCAGTGGGTCAGGATGGCAGCCCTCCACCATCTTCACCATGGCAACTAGTGACTGGCCTAGCCAGTGACCCCCTGGATCCCACCAATGAACTAAAAAAAAGCACCAATAGGTCACAACAAGCTGGCAGGTGGGATTAGGCCTGCCAAGCCTCTATAGAGATGTCTGAACGACCCCCACTCCAACTCGACGATAGAATGAAACTATAAATGGGTTAATCTTCCAATATGTTTTTCCTAGGGTGGAGGTAGCTATTACGGGGGGGCATAGTTTTACAGTGAGTGGAGGTAGATATAGGGGAGACGTCAGAGGTAGGTTCTATAGTCAGAGAGTGGTAGGGGTGTGGAATGCATTGCCGGAGAGGGTAGAGGAGTCGGCCTCATTAGGGGCATTTAAGCAGCTATTAGATGGGCATATGGATGATAGTATAAGGTAGGGGTGGAGGTTAGATAGACCTTAGGTTTAGGGTAAAAGTTCGGCACAACATCGTGGGCTGAAGGGCCTGTGCTGTGCTGTACTGTTCTATGTTCTATGTGCAGGATGGAATATACAGGTATTAAACTTTGCAATACTGGCTTTTCCAAAGACTTGAATACTATCCCTACAAGAGAAAGGATATTATTAAATTAGAAAGAGTACAGAAAAGATTTACTAGGATGCTACCTGGACTGGAAGGTTCAAGTTATAAGGAGATGTTGGAGAAGCTGGGACTTTTTACCCTGGAGCGTAGGGACTGAGGGGGTGACCTTACAGAGGTCTATAAAATCATGAGGGGCATACATAAGGTAGATAGCCGACAGCTTTTCCCCAGGGTAGGGGAGTCTAAAACTAGAGGGTATAGATTTAAGATGAGAGGGCAGAGATACACAAGGGTCCAGAGGGGCAATTTTTACACACAGTGGGTGGTGAGTGTCTGGAACGAACTGCCAGAGGTAGTGGTGGAGATGAGTACAATTTTGTCATTTAAGAAACATTTGGACAGGTACATGGATGGGATAGGGAAGGAGGAATATGGACCAATCGCAGGTAAATAGGGCTCGTTTAAATTGTGAAAACTGGGCGGCATAGGCAAGATGGGCCGAAAGGCCTGTTTCCCCGCTGCAGACCTCTATGACTATCTACAAATCACGCTTGTGAAAGAGAAAACAGAAGGAACCAACAAGCTGCAGTAAGTCAATGGTTTAACAGGCCATAGATTGCAGAGTGAGTGAGTGAAGGTAAAAAGCTTCACAATTTGTAGATCCTTCTGGATTTTGTGGATGGACCCTCAATCTCTTTTTTTATTTTTATTCATTTGTGGGATGTGGGCTGACCAGCATTTATCTCCCATCCCTAATTGCCCCCTTGAGAAGGTGTTGGGGAGCTGCCTTCTTGAACCGCTGCACTCTGTGTGCTGTGGGTAGACCCACGATGCCCCTTAGGGAGGGAATTCCAGGATTCTGACCCAGCGACACTGAAGGAACGGCCGATATATTTCCAAGTCGGGATGGGGAGTGGCTCGGAGGGGAACTTGCAGGGGGTGGTGTTCCCATGTATCTGCTGCCCCTTGTCCTTCTAGATGGAAGTGGTGGTGGGTTTGGAAGGTGCTGTCTAAGGAGCCTCGGTGAGTTGCTGCAGTGCGTCTTGTAGATGGTACACACTGCTGCGACTAAGCGGAGGGAGTGGGATGTTTGTAGATGTGGTGCCAGTTTTTATAAATTGACTTGAAATGCTTCTAAAAAGACAGTAAGTTGGTACATACACCAGTGCTAGAGAAAACTCAGAAGACCAAACCTCCTATGTAGAAGGGACTGTTTAATGAGACTTCTCAAATGCTGGTAACCAGTACAACATTGAGCAATAACTCTCCCAAACCCCCACCAGCCACAACTCCATCACCTTCCTTTCACAGAGTCTAGTCTCTGTTAAACCAGGTTGATTAAGTTAGCTTGATAAAGTGAGGTCTGTTATCACCAGCTTAAACATTACTGAAATGGGTGGATTAATGATCAGTTCAGAGAGACATTGCGTCCCTGCTCCAGCCTCTCCGTCAGTGCCATGATCTCTCGCTCAGCCCCAGTCCTTCTCCCGCAGTGCCGCCATCTCTGAGCTGCGACCATGGGCTTCGGCGATATCCTGGAGGATGTCGGGAGCATGGGCAAGTTCCAAGTCATCCACATTTTGTTGCTAGTGTTGCCGTCCTTTCTCGCGCCCAGCCACAACTTGCTCCAGAACTTCTTGGCTGCTGTTCCCGACCATCACTGTCGGATCCGTTTGGAAACGGTGAACGACTCCAGGTACGTCAACGTGATGGACAGAGCGCGGACGGAGGATCTTCTCCGGGTTTTCATCCCTCTGGACCAAAACCAGCGGCTGGAGAAATGCCTCATGTACTCCTCACCTCAATGGCACCTCCTGGATCTCAATGAAACCCACGGGAGCACAACTGAATACAACACGCAGAAGTGCACAGACGGGTGGACCTATGACGACTCTAAGTTCAAAGCCACAATTGTCACAGAGGTAACGCAATAGAATTTCTGTTTATTGAAGGTTTCAATGACGTTGAGCATGTTGTGAAATGGAAGGAAGGGATTCAGCTGAATTGGGCACACACCTTTCCTCAATGAGAGGTTTTCAGTTCAAACAGCGGGTAATGTTTGCAGGAGATGGACCATAGGTAAAGGTGTGTCTTTGTTTGGTCTGAAGGGATTCCTGATAAAGAAGTGAGGTTTCAATGGTTATTTTTTCTTTCTGTCCTACATGACCTCATCTAAGTTTTAGTAAAACGAGCAAGGGCAGGACTTACACAATTAAAAGTAAGGCCTTGTGGAGTGTCTTGGAACAGCGAAACCTAAGGATGCAGGTACATAATCCTTAGACGTTCATGTCACACAGTGACAGGGTGGTTAAGAAGGCGTTTAGCACGCTTGCCTTCATTGGTCAGAGTAGAGGAGCTGGGACATCATATTGAGGTTGTACAGGACGTTGGTGAGGTCTCTTCTGGAGCACTGTGTCCAGTTCTGGTTGCCCTGCTATAGGAAGGATATTAAGCTGGAGGGGGCTCAGAAGAGATTTACCAGGATGTTGCCAGTAATGGAGGGTTTGAGTTATAAGGAGAGGCTGGGACACTTTTCACTGGCGCGTAGGAGGTTGAGGGGTGACCTTATAGTGGTTTATAAAACCATGAAGGGGTATAGATGAGTGACAGGTGTCTTTTCCCTAGGGTCGGAGGATTTGAAGACTTAGGGACCATATTTTTAAGGTGAGAGGAGAAAGATTTAAAAAGGACATGAGGGGCACCTTTTTTACACAGAGGGTGGTTCATGTGTGGAATGAGCTTCCAGAGGAAGTGATGGATGTGGGTAGTTACAACGTTTAAAAGACATTTGGATAAGTACATGAATGGGGAAAGGTTTGGAGGGATATGGGCCAGAATCAGGCAGGTGGGACTAGTTTAGTTTGGGGATTATGGTCGGCACAGACTGTTTGGGCCGAATGGTCTGTTTCCGTGCTGTGTGGCTCTATGAGTGACAGCACACAAATATATAAATAAGGAACGCATTTAGGCCATCTGGCCCCTCGAATCTATCCTGCCATTTAATAAGATTATGGCAGATCTGATTATAACCAAATCCACACTCCTGTCTCCTCCTGATAAATTTCCATCCTCTTGCTTTCGAAGAATCAGTACGTTCCTACCTTAAAAACACTCAAAGATTCTGCTTCTACTATCTTTAGATGAGAAGAGCTGTGAAGGTACATGACAAATCTGTGAGAAACTTTTTTTAGCTCATCTGCCAAACTCAAAAGTGTTCAGAAAAGATTTACGAGGATGTTGCTGGGGTTGGAGGGTTCGAGCTATAGGGAGAGGCTGAATAGACTGGGGTTATTTTCCCTGGACCGTCGGAGGATGAGGGGGTGACCTTATAAAGGTTTATAAAATGATGAGGGGCATGGATAGGGTCAATAGCCAAGGTCTTTTCCCCAGGGTAGGGGAGTCCAACACCAGAAGGGCATAGGTTTAAGGTGAGAGGGGGAAAGATTTAAAAGGGACTTAAGGGGCAACTTTTTCACGCAGAGGGTGGTGCGTGTATGGAACGTGCTGCCAGAGGAAGTGGTGGAGGCATCTGGATGGGTACATGAATAGGAAGGGTTTAGAGGGATAGGGGCCAAATGTTGGCAAATGGGACTAGATTCATTTAGGATACCTGGTCAGCATGGACAGGTTGGACCGAAGGGTCTGTTTCAATGCTGTACAGCTCTGTGACTCTATCTCCATCTTAAATGGGCCTGTCCTTATTTTTAAACAGCGGCGGCTGGTTGTTTATCATCCCATAGGGGACAACATCCTTTCCTCATCTACATCGTCAGGATCTTGAATGTTTCAATCAAATTGCCTTTTATTCTTCTGAGGTCTGGCCAACACAAAACTGTCAAGGTGTTTCCTCACAAGGCAACTTGTTCCTCCCAGTTATTAATCGAGTCAACCTTCTCTGGGGTCCTTCCAAAGCATCAACATCCTTCCTTTAGAGAGGTGACCAATATTTCTTTTCCCTCTCCCCTCTGTCCATTCACACGATGAGGGTGTTGCTGGCCAGGTGGCATTTATTGCCCATCCCTAATTGCCCAGAGGGCAGTTAAGTGCCAACTACATTGCTGTGGGTCTGGAGTCACGTGTAGGCCCAGACCAGGTAAGGATGGCAGTTTCTATCCCCTAAAGCGGGTGAGTGAACCAGATGGGTTTTTCCCCTGACAATTGATTCACAGTTCATTATTAGATTCTTAACTCCAGAATTTTATCGAACTCAAATTCCACCATCTGCCTTGGCGGGATTCGAACGCGGTCCCCAGAACATTGTCTAGGTTTCTAGATTAACAGTCCAACGATAATACCACTAGGCTATCACCTCCCCTCAAACATAGATGGGGTCTCTCCAGCGTCCTGAATGTTTAACTGAAACATAACCTCCGTACTTTTGTATTTCACTCCCCTTGCAATAAAATAATTATGCTGTGTTAGCTTTCTTAACTACTTGTACCTGCATAGCATCTGTTGTGTGATTCCAGCACTGGGACACCCAGATCCCTCTGCTTCTTAGAGCTCTGCAATCTCTTCCATCTCTTCTTTTCAGTCTTCTTGCTAAAAGGGACATTTTCACATCTTGTCACATTCTGCTTCATTTTTGCCCACTCACTTATAGAGCCATGGAGCCATATGGCACGGAAACAGACCCTTCGGTCCATCCAGTCTGTGCCGACATCAATCCCAAACTAAACCAGTCCCACCTGCCTGCTCCCGGCCCATATCCCTCCAAACCTTTCCCTATTCGTGTACTTATCCAAATGTCTTTTAAACGTTGTAACTGTCCCTGCATCCATCACTTCCTCTGGAAGTTCATTCCACACATGAACAACCCTCCATGTAAAAAAAAATTGCCTCTCATGTCTTTTTAAAATCTCTCTCCTCTCGTCTTAAAAATGCGCCCCTCCGGTCTTGAAATCCCCCCCATCCCAGGGAAAAGACACCTACCTATTTAAGCACCTTATGGCTCAGTGGTTAGCAGTGCTGCCTCACAGCGCCAGGGACTCGGGTTCGATCCCACCCTCGGGTGACTCTCTGTGTAGAGTTTGCACATTCTCCCCATGTCTGCGTGGGTTTCCTCCCACAGTCCAAAGATGTGCAGGTTAGGGTGGGTTAACCATGGGAAATGCAGGGTTACAGGGATAGGGTAGAGGGGTTGGATGCTCTGTGGAGGGTCTATGATGGGCTGAATGGCCTGCTTCCACACTGTATTCTATGAAACTCAATAAGTTCACCCCTTAACTTCTACACTCCAGTGGGGGGGTAAAAAAAATTCCCAGCCTTTCTTTATAAGCAAACCTTCCTTACCTAGCAATATCCTGGTAAATCTCTTCTGAGCCCTCTCCAGCTTAATGATAGGGTGACCAGAACTGCACACAGTGCTCCAGAAGACACCTCACCTACAACCTCAACATGTCGTCCCAACTCCAATACTCAAAGGTCTGAGCAATGAAGGCAAGCGTGCTAAATGCCTTCTTAACATCTATATCTTTATGTAGCCTCCTTTGATATTCTTAGATCTTAGAATCTCTACAATGTGGAAACAGGCCCTTCGGCCCAACAAGCCCACACTGGGCCATCCCCCTATAGCCCACCTAATCTACACATCCCTGGACACTATGGGACAATGTAGCATGGCCAATCCACCCTAACCTGCACATCCCTGGGCACTATGGGACAATTTAAGCACAGCCAATCCACCCTAACCTGCACATCCCTGGGCACTATGGGACAATTTAGCACGGCCAATCCACCCTAACCTGCACATCTTTGGACTGTGGGAGGAAACCGGAACGCCCGGAGGAAACCCAGGCAGACACATGGAGAATGTGCAAACTCCACACAGACAGTTGTCCGAGGGTGGGATCGAACCCAGATCCCTGGCGCTGTGAGGCAGCAGTGTTAACCACTGAGCCATCATGTGAGCAACAAAGGCAAGCCTCCTAAACAATTGCTTAACATCTATATCTTTGTGTAGAGATAGTAGGAACTGCCGATGCTGGAGTCTGAGATAACAAGGTGTAGAGCTGGATGAACGCAGCAGGCCAAGCAGCATCAGAAGATTTTCTGAAGAAGGGTCTAGGCCCGAAACGTCAGCTTTCCTGCTCCTCTGATGCTGCTTGGCCTGATGTGTTCATCCAGCTCTACACCTTGTTATCTATATCTTTGTGTAGCCTCCTTCTGTCTTCTTTATAATTTACTTTCTAACCTTGTGGCAAATTCAGCGAGCCTACCTTCAGTCCCATCACAAATCATTCAAGAAAATTGTGAAAAAACATTTGAGCTGTGTGTCTAATACTTGTTGCAATTTGCTAACCACAGAAAGAACCTTTCATGTTTGCCCTGTGTGCCCTTTCAGTCATTCCCCTATGTCAATGTGGTATGTCCCCTACACCAAATGATCTTTCATTTTTGCAAAAAACTTTGGTGTCGCATTTTATCACTAGCCTTCTGTAAATCCATGTGCACTCCCCTCCCCTCCATCCATTGCATGTTAATCATCAAAGAACCCCAAACAAGTGGCTAAACATGGTAACCCTTTCACAAAACCATGTAGACTCGAAATAAAAGCCAGAAGAACTGCGGGCGCTGTAAATCAGGAACAAGAACAGAAATCACTGGAAAAGCTCAGCAGGTCTGGCAGCGGAGAGAAATCAGAGTTAACATTTCGGGTCGAATGACCCTTCCTTATAGAGTCGTAGAGTTGGAAAGCACAGAAACAGACCCTCCATACCGGCCAGATATCCTAAAATAGGCTGAGGCGTGACATTACAGAGGTTTATAAAATCATGATGGCATGGATAGGGTGATTAGTCAAGGTCTTTTTCCCAGGGGTAGAGGGGACCAAAACTAGAGGGTGTAGGTATAAGGTGAGAGGGGGAAAGATTTAAAAGGGACCTGAGGGGCAACCTTTTCGTGCAGAGGGTGTATGGAATGA